GAGGAGGAGTAGGAGGAGGAGGGAGGAGGAGGGGGAGGAGAGGGAGGAGGAGGGAGGAGGTGGGCCTCCCCAAGCGCCCGGCGGAGCCGGAGGTGGCCCAAGGCCGTGCAGGGGCGGCGCGTGGACCGGGTGCGCGAAGAAGCCTGGGCAGCGCGGGGGCGCCCCGAGTCGGGTCCGAGCAGGCGGCTTCGGAGGGCTTCGCCACGCCTCCTCCTCCTCCTCCTCCTCCTCCTCCTCCCCTCCTCCTCCTCCTCCTCTCCTCCTCCTCCCTCCTCCTCCTCCTCCTCCTCCTCCTCCTCCTCCTCCTCCTCCCTCCCCCTCCTCCTCCTCCTCCTCCTCCTCCTCCTCCTCCTCTCCTCCTCCTCCTCCTCCTCCTCCCGCTCCTCCCCCTCCTCCTCCCTCCTCCTCCTCCTCCTACCGCCTCTCTCCTCCTCCTCCTCCTCCTCCTCCTCCTCCTCCTCCTCCTCCTCCTCCTCCCACTCCCCTCCTCCTCCTCCTCCTCCTCCTCCTCCCTCCTCCTCCCTCCTCCTCCTCCTCCTCCTCCTCCTCCTCCTCCTCCTCCTCCTCCTCCTCCTCCTCCTCCTCCTCCTCCTCCTCCTCCTCCTCCTCCTCCTCCTCCATCGGGGGCACATCGGCGCCGTGGGCGTGGAGGAAGTCGGCTGCACATCTGGCCGCGTCGCCGATGCATCGACGATGCAGCGCGATCCTCTGACCCCATCTGCTCGAACCACACTTGGGGGCCCTGGAGCGGCGTGGCGTGAGGGGGGGCGGGCGGGCGGGCCGGGCGGCCAGCTGGGCGTCTGCTGCGCAGGCCTAGTCAGTGGTTCGATGCTTCTTGCCGCCGCCTCTCAGGGGCAGCATCTGACGCTTCGGGGGCAGGAGTGAACAAAGAAGGTGGTGGAAGAGGTGGAGGAGGTGGTGAAGGAGGAATGGGGGGGAGAAGGGGGTTGCGGAGCACGGGGAGGAGAGGACTACCCAATGGATTACCCTGTGAGGTACCTTGGTACCGACGGGGAGGAGGAGGAGGAGGAGGAGGAGGAGGAGGAGGAGGAGGAAAAGGAGGAAGAGGAGGGAGAGAAGAAGGAGAAGAAGAGGAGAAGGAGGAGAAGAAGGACAAGAGGATGGAGGAGGAGGGATGAGGGAGGAGGAGCGAGGAGGGAAAAAAGAGGCACGATTTCTTCGTTGTGGCACTAGTACTACCACTCCTTGCGAGACGGTGCTACCACTCACCACAGAGGGGCAGACAACGAGCGATAGTTCCAGAGAACGTTGGTCCGTCTACTCTCCCTGATTCTGCTGTACTCTGCCCTACTCTAACAACCTTGTCTGCTCGGTTGAACTACGACTTTCAGTCACGGCTGAAGCTACAATCACAACTACACCTGATGGCCTAGGGCAGGATCTGTCCAAGACGGGCCCCTGAGGCCCAGGATACCCCCCAAGACTGCCAAAGACGACCCCGAGGAGGCCAGAGCTCCCACGATGGCGCCCAAGTCGCCCGAGATGACCCAGCAGGGCGCCAAGTCGGCCCGACGATGCCCCAAGAGACCCCAAGAGGTCCCATGGAGGCCCCCAGATATTTGAAAAAATACTTGATACCGCCACTGCCCAGATCTCTTCCAGGGCGTGGCCTTACCAGGATTTCGAGGCGGATCCAGCGGTGGCGACGAGGGCCTCGCAGGAGGCTCAGAAAGAGAAAGGCGAACACGAGGGAAGGGTAGCGGTATTGGTACTCCTCTGGTGGCGGGTCCCCAGATAGCTCCAACCTTGCCTAAAACAGCCCCAGAAGCAATGCCCCCCAGAGGCCCCAACACGGCCCAGCAGAGCCATGCAAGGCCACAAGGGAGCGGAGGAAGAGCGCACAGCCCTTCGAATACACAGAACCCAGGAATACCTGTATGACGTGTGACCACACTTCGGGTGGGGAACTTGGAAGGGTGAGTGCCGCGTTCGGTTTTTACGATTGGCGTCGGATCGGATTCGCGATGTATTGGAAACTATGTCGACCTTGATGGCTTCATCTATCGGCCCAAACTACTCGATCGTTCGATTCTGAGCCCAGCTTGGAGACGCTTTCGGGACGCATCTGGCCTCCATGTGGGCCCCTTCGGGCCCCCTTCGTCGCCTCCCGAATGCGCTAAGACCTCAAGAGTGCCTCTTGGGCCCCACATCGCCTACGACTTCGACACTTCAAAACCTCAAAAAAACATAGATTTTGAAGACCGTCGCTTCGCCAGGGGTCGCCCGGACGCCTCTAATATCTTTTTGTGGCTCGTATTTGTCGACATGTCAACTTCGACGTCGTTTGTGACCCCGCTCCAGAATCCATGTAGGACGATCCTGGACTTCACTTGGGCCCCAAAACCAGAACCACACCAGCCCCAAACCAGCCCGACTTTCAATGGCACTCCGAAGGAATTACGCCCCGACACGGACGTGCTGTCGCTTCGGCCGTCCAAACCCCGCCTGAACCGCATCGGGCCCTTCTTGGCTCCATTTT